GTCTTTGAGAACACCCTCTCTGACGGGACAGATGTTGCTACAATGCACAATCTACTCTCCATTACTTTGATCAAACGGGGGTAGACGGAAGCTCGGTATTTCCACCAGCTCAGTGGATCAAATGCCCTTGAAATATGTGTTTCGTTAATATGTGCCCTAATTTTGTGTTTTGTGTTTTTGCACGTTTGGTTTATTCTGTAAATTCGATTCAGATTGCTTGCCAAACGCCTGTGTGGTTTCCCGGACAGTAGGGGGCGATCTGAATTTAAGACATCCAATTCACCAAGAAGAAGAACAAGTACAAGCACAAGAACGGTACCACATCCGGTTCAATGAGCAAGTTTTTCCGCTGTCCACAAGCCCTGTTCTCGGTGAGTAATTTTAACGTTTTAACTTCGCAGTTTATCTCTGAGTGTATAGATGTAGACATTTGGGGAGAGTTATTCCGACACGTTGCTCCTTTAATTTTGTTGTTGTGACTCAACGTAAAAAACAACGTCAGCAAAGCGGCAGTGAGCGAGCACGCCGCCGACAAGTAGACCTCAGCTGTCAATCAAAAAGCAATCGCGAACAGCGTTTGACTTCAATACTATTCTGGATGTTTTCCACATGCTGCTATCAGCAGTGGAAGTGTGGTGGCTTCACATCAGGGGGGTGCAGATTTGTTTCAAAACTATTCCCACAAATGCACCCGTGACTTTGTTCATTTGTTTTTTTCGAAAGGAGGTTGCTCATTGTACTTTAGGTGTGGGGAGAGAGCCGCGAGTGGATCGCTCAAACAGATGCATTGCGAGTGCGGGCACGTTTGGAAATGGACGGGTTGAAAGTCAAAGTCTGCCACTTTACGAATAATGACTCAAATTAAAAAGAAAAAAAAGGCACAACTTTTTTTATGGACTACATTGTGTGACTTTCCATTTTTGTTTTGTTTTTCTGTCTGACCAGATTAGTCAGATTACTGGGCCAAATGCGCAGCCGCCAGACTCGGAGGACATGCGGAAGGGAGGGACGCCGACCTGCATTCGGACACGCGTGAGTATGGAGCTGTGTGGTGTGCTTGAAGAGCTGATGTCTGATGGCACGTTGCACCACAAGGTGGAGGTGAGTGCGCCCGCCTGTCTGTCTCTCACTCAACTTAAACTTCTGCTTCGTGTACTGCACAACAGTGTCAACTCCACATAGACAACCCGAGCATTATCAAGCACTTCTGTTTTTAAACTTTGAAGTGGACCAAGTTAGTTTAAAAATAAGTTATTTATCGAGTGGCTTTCAATGTTATTTCAAATAACATTGAAAGCCACTCGACTAAGTGGAAATTATATGACGTAAAGAATACAGAGAATAATTTTGTTTACATATTTATGAAAATAAAATAACAAATTACATTTATGTTATTCTATGAATGTTTAGGTCAGCAGAGAAGGCCTTGCTGGCCCTGAGGGTCCGCCACTGATATATACATACATATGACTAACTTGGCCCACTTCAATGTCATTTAAAAACTTGACCAGAAGAGTGTGATCATGTAGTTGTGGAGTACACGGCAGTTAGTTTTTGTCTCAGTGAGAGAAGTCGGACGTGCTCATGTCCACCTTGGTGGGTCATGAGATGTGACATCACACATGAGCTGGTCAAGCACATGCAAGACTTAAGCTGCTCCCATCTCGGGCCTGTCGTCAGTGTTTGTGTGTGTGCAACTTGAACTGGCCCACGCAAACATTGACTGGTAAAATGCTTTCACATTGTCCTGTTTGCTTTTCTGTCCAATAAATTGTTGAACTTGAATTCGAGTCTTTGCCTTCCATGACTAAGTCCATCCTCAACTCACTCAAAGCCTTTCATGCTGAGTGGTCACTGCAGCGGAAGACTTCTCAAAGACTTAAGTCTTGAGGAGAGAGTTGCGCATCAGTCACTGGTATGGCCACAAGTGTAATGGGACTTTGAAAAAGTGCTGCAATGCCCCAAACCACACCCAATTTGACATCCACCAATCGCGGTGAGGCCCCTTCTTTGCATAATCCGAACCCCATTTTGCATAACCATGACCACTTTCCAAGTTCTGACCAATCAGATTGCTCCAAATTTGCATAACCACGCCCCAAAGAGACCACCAATCAGAGAACGCCTAATTTGCATTTAACCCCCCCCCCCCACGAATCACAGCATGTTATTGTCATGCTCCACCCACTTTCACAGCTATCAGCGAATCATCAGCCATCATTCCAGCCAGGCCACACCCACTTTCCTGGATTTTTCTGCCTGGGAAAAAAATCCAGTAAAAAAAACATTGGAAAAAAATGTTTGAAAACAAATTCAGAAAAAAGTTTAGAAAAAACTGAAAATAATTTTGTTTACATTTTTTTTTAAGTTAGATTGTGGTGATGTGTTTAAAAATGAAGTTGAGTTGAAGTGTTCTTTGTAATCAAGCTTTATTTCTTTTGCAGA